ACAGTTAAAATTCTAGGTAAAGCGGAGCTCACCCTGCCTTCCGTTGTATCTTTTGTGATTGCATGCAATCGCAGCGATTATGTGGTCTCAAAGGAGTTAAAAACACTATTGAAGGAAGTATTGTTAACGCAAATGAGGTGATTGTACAATTTGCCGGTTGCTTCAAAGATTCGATTACTGTTTTTAGAGATGTGGATAGTGCCAATGTTGTCATTGCCGTGCTTGCACATTGGGATCAGAATGACAAAGAAGTATCACGTGCAGCTATTGTTAAGACTATAGAACTACTCGGAAGCGACATGTCCTGCTGCGTGCTTACCGTCGGAGAAATGTGCTCATTGATGAATAAATTAGCTGAGAGGCGCATCCGCGAGAAAGCACTTCTTCCACTTTTATCTGCGAGAATTACCGAGTTAGCGCAATTCTGTAAGGTTTCGGTGCTTTACTAGTAATAAGAGAATAACGTTTTCTAGTTATCATTCCGCTTTGTCTGTGCGACAGCTTGTTTCGTTGGCCGCTTCCTGTGCGAAGTTGAACTATTTTGATGCGCGAGTACTTCGCCGTCTTGCAAAAGATTTATTGTTGGATGTGAACAACTTGCATAATTGGGCAGATGTATCTTCATTGGTGGATTCGTTCAGCAGGTAATTTTCATGTTAGTTTCGTTCTTATCTCTTTGACGCATAACTCGGAATACTTGAAGGTTACGTTTCGGTGATATGGTTGCATGGAATGCGCTTGCTGTGTGGGTTAACAATCATATGCACTCCGCTCCTTTGGACTCTCTTTCGATCATAATAGGAGGAATGGCGAGGAACGGCATCGAGGTGTGTTATAAAGATTGTTCTAAGTACGACATGGACATTATCCGCTTTATAGGAGTGTCGTCCTGCGGCTATGAGGTTGTCTCAGCGTGTTCGCCGTGAAATCGCTCCCTCCCAAAACGTTTGGCTCAGTACAGTTCATTCTCTTGCATTCTTTCGCGCACTGACACCAGAGTTGGCAGAGTCTGTTTTGAACAGAGATTTCGTTTCACAACTTCTACAACCTTCCAAGTACGTTTTCTACTTTCATCTTTTCTTGTTGTAAAGCTTCTTTCCTTGTATTCAAGCGAGAGTAGTACTCTTTGCAGATTTTTCACCATCTAGCTATCTTATTCAGATCTGTTGGAGAAAAACTGTTCAAAGCAATGAAACTCCTTCAAATAAGTTCTTGTGTTGAAGTTGATCTTGGAGATGCCTACATTGGTCCTCGTTTGGGGTTTGCTGAATTGGAACCGTTAATTAAAATAGACGACGAGGCGGTTGGTTTACGATCTAATTTCGTGACTCATTCATTAGAAGGCGCTAGAAAATTAAGACTTCAGCTATTGTTTGCTCTATGTACTCATTTAGCTTTGCCATTGTTTTATATAATCGTGTTCTAGACAAGGCTTGCACGACTGATCAAATATGGAAAGAAGGAAGTGGAAACTTGTAATCAGTTTCTATCTGACGTTTTATTCAAGATAGGTTCTCCTTCAACTCATATTTCCCCATCTTGTATAGATCCAACAGGGATTCTGATTGATGCACAGATCGTGTGCGAAAAGGTTCGATTAGATCCTTCGCAGTTTCGCATTAGCTAATATTAGTAAAATGCATAAGAAAGACACTCCATTCAGGACAGTAGCCGCCTGTTACCTATCAGTAAATGGGGCGAGAGTGTGCCGCGACCCATTCTCTTCTTTGGTTGGGGTCAAACGCGACAAGTTTGTTATATATATATATATATATATATATATATATATATATATATATATATA